AATGTGAGTCATTGGATAAGAGTTTTAAACAGTGATATTGGAAGTGCTAGCCTTGGTCAGAGCAACATCATGCACATCTTAAGATTGAGCTACAAATTCCTCCCAAGACCTTTACAGAATTGTTTCACATTTTGTAGCATATTTCCGCAAGATCATAACTTTATTAGAGATGATTTAGTCAAAATGTGGATTTCATTGGGTTTCATTCAGACACCTTCAATTTCAGGAGAGACCATGGAAGATATCGGAGGCAAGTGTTTTGATATTTTGGTCAAAAAATCTTTCTTTGACAATTTTGAACCATATTACAAGATGCATGATTTTTTACATGAATTAGCACAATCTATTTCTGCACAAGAATGCTTCAGAGTTGTGGGGGATAAAGAACCTTTTAGAATTCTGAAAACTATTCGACATTTATTTGTTGAAACTTCCAATATAGAAGTATTGAGAAAGATTATTGAGTTTAAAAATTTGCATTCACTTTTTTTGAGATACCGGGGAGATGATCAAGATTTTATTCAAATACTTACTGAGCTTTTCAAATCATTGAGAAGGATTCGGTTGATGTTCATATATCATATGGATCTCAAATTGATACCTGAGGAGATTGCAAATTTGATACATCTCAGATACTTGAATGTACGTTATACTGATATCACTCGACTGCCAAGAACTCTAAACAATCTTCATCACTTACAGTTCATAATCTATAAAAATTTTAAGTGGAACCTTTGTAATGATCGCAGAAAATTGCAGAAAGCCTTGTCTGAGATGCCTGGAATTGGAATGTTGAAGTCTCTTCGAGAACTGGATTGGTTCTCTGTTAAGAATGAGAAGGGTTTTAAAATTGGGGAGCTGGAACATTTGAATGAGCTTCGCAGATTAAGAATCAGTTCTCTTGAAAGTGTGAAGGATGCTAAAGAAGCATGCATTGCCAAATTATGTGAAAAGAGAAACCTAACAGATTTGTGGTTAGTCTGGGGTGATGAAAGTAAAACCTTGAGGAACACTTTAGATACTGTCTTAGATGAGGAAGTGCTCGAAAACCTTCAACCACACAACAAACTAGAGCATCTACGCATATATGCATACATGGGTGCAAAGTCTGCACGGTGGATGGATAATGCCAATTATATCTTCAATCTAAAATTCATTGAGTTGTCTAGATGTTTGGAGTGGGAAACTCTTCCACCTTTTGAGCAGCTTCCCTTTCTTAAGACTCTGTTCCTTCATGACATGCCAAAAGCAAAGTGTTTTTATAATAAATTTCATGGGAATGGTAAGGCTTGTGTTTTTCCATCACTAGAGCGGCTAGATATTACGAAATTAGAAGCATTAGAGCATTGGTTTGATGCAACAGAAGATGCTTGGCCTTTTCCTTGCTTACATATACTCAGGCTCAAAGACTGCCCAAATTTGCAGGAGTTGTCCTCTAGACCTCCAAATCTTTGGAACTTGGAGATAGATAACGTTGGGTGGAAAGCTTTTAACTGGCTACCAGGTATTGATGACCGTTGTCGCTACATTTCTATTAAAAATTGCAGCAATTTTAACTATATTAGACAACAGAAGAATTCAGAGACATTCAAGAAAATAATCAACAAAGTCATTGTAAATGATCTGTCTGTGTTGCTAATGGAGCCATTGAGAAGTATCACCTCCTTTGAAGAGCTTTCCATTGAGGAAAATGATGACCTGATTTCATTTACAATTGAAGCAGAGCAATGGTTTCTACAATTTAGCTTGTCCCTTCTTGAGTTGAACTTTAGAAGGCTCAAATCCCTTCAGTCTCTCCCTTCATCCTTGCCAAGACTCTCTTCACTTCAGGTTCTGTGTATTCAAGAGGCTCCTCAGCTCCAGCAACTGTCGAACATTCCCGGCTCTTTGGAACGATTAGACCTTGAGAAGCTCGAATCTTTGCTGTGCCTGCAATCTTTATCAGCCATCACATCCCTCCAGTATCTAACTTTAGAAAGCATTCCACTCCTCAAAGCGTTGCCAGACCTCCCTCCCTCTTTGTATGAGTTGAGACTTAAAGATCTTAATCAATTGGATTGCCTGCCTTCTTGCTTTCCTACCCTTTCTTCTCTCCAAACACTTAACATCATAAAGGTTCCTCAGCTCCGAGAATTACCAGGCCTCCCACCCTCTTTGCTTTCACTATTTCTAGAAGGTCTTAATCAACTTGATTGCCCGCCTTCTTTCCTTTCCAGGCTTTCTTCTCTTGATAAGCTTGTCATTATTAACCTTTCTCAACTCCGAGAATTACAAGGCCTCCCTCCCGCTTTGTCTAAACTGCAACTTGAAGATCTTGATCGACTGGATTGCCTGCCTTCTTCGCTTGCCAACCTTTCTTCTCTCCGTGTACTTTGGATCATAAATGTTCCTCAGCTTCGGGATTTGCCAGATCTTCCTCCTTCCTTGGAACACCTAGTAATCGAGGACTGTCATCCAGAGTTAATGGAGCGCTATAAAGAGTATTCAGGCTCTGATTGGCACAAGATCGCACACATTC